AAAAAAAAAAAAAAAAAAAAAAATGAGGCTCCTCCAAGTTTGCTTCTTTGAGCCACCACTCACGGCGGGGACAAGAAGATAAAGAACAGTAGGAGGCTGATGAACAATGTGCGTGTCTTTTCCTCTGCCTCGTTAAACGCGCCACTAGTGTGAACGAAGAGCTACAATATTCGAAATTTGTCAAAAGTTTGTCGATTTTCTGAATAGAGATCCAGCAATCAGAGAAGCTCAGTTCATTTCAGCGACAAATTAGGGGAATTTTGAAAAAAGAAAGCTGGGAAGAGGGTGGGTGTTTTCATAAAGGAAATATACCTCATTTTGAGCCCTTTCAGGCTTCTTCTTCAAGGCCTTGTACTCTTCTGAATGAAATGGCTGCATTTATAGCTATGATAGTCTACATGGTTCTTTTGCCAACACCCTTTGCAGCTAAGGATGAAGAGTGGAAATCTGCTACTGCAACATACACCAAAGAAATAGATGGGTCAATCATTGCAGGTACTCTTTTCCTTCACCAGAAAACTCATCAAATTGCCAAGTGTTTAAACATGGTGTTTTATAACCGCCTAGTTCTTAAAATTTGTAAGGAGACATTTGAGTTCTTACAAATTCTAAAAATAAAAATAAGTTTTGAAAAGCTAAAGTTTTGGTTTTCTTAGCTTGGATTTTGGGATCATGAGTTAAAAAGTAGATAGCATAAAGCATAATTTTCAAAAACAAAATGTTTATCAAACGAGATCTATTTGGGTGCTCACGTGCCACCCTGCAACTCATATCCTGTGGGGGTTGTTAAAGGAATCTCTCCTCACCTTTAGACGATGAAGTAAAATCATTAACCATAAATGGCATTTTGTAACAAAAAAGGGAGGAAACTGTTGAAGATTGTTGGGATGGAGTCCCACATTGACAAATTTGGGGAATGATCAAATGATTTTTTTCCTTGCTTTGATTTTGAAATGTTCTAAAGGGTTTATAAGTGAGAAATACTATCTCCATTGGTGTGAGATCTTTTGGGGAAGCCCAAAGCAAAACCATGAGAGCTTATGCTCAAAGTGGACAATATCATACCATCGTGGAGAGTCGTGATTTCTAAACATAGTAACAGAGTCATGCCCTTAACTTAACCATGTCAATAGAATCCTCAAATGTCGAACAAAGGAGTTGTGAGCCTTGAAGGAGTAGTCAAAAGTGACTCAAGTATCGAACAAAGGGTGTACTTTGTTCGAGGACTCCAGAGAGGAGTCCAGCCTTGATTAGGGGGAGGCTATTCGAGGGCTACATAGGTCTCAGGAGAGGCTCTATGGTATACTTTGTTTGAGGGAAGATTGTTGAAGATTGTTGGGATGGAGTCCCACATTGGCAAATTTAGGGAATGATCATAGGTTTATAAGTGAGGAATACTATCTCCATTGGCGTGGAGCCTTTTGGGGAAGCCCAAAACAAAGCCACGAGAGCTTATGCTCAAAGTGGACAACATCATACCATTGTAGAGAGTCGTAATTTCTAACCGAAACTAGTATTTCAAGTGCTTTTTTTGTTAATGTTGCAGAAGGTGCTTGTGGTTATGGAGATCTACATAAGATTCGCTATGGAAAACATAGCGCTGGATTGAGTAGCATGTTGTTTAATGGAGGGAGTACCTGTGGAGCATGCTTTGAGCTTAGATGTGTTGACCACATCTTGTGGTGCTTGGAAGGAAGTCCGACCGTCATCCTAACCGCCACCGACTTCTGTCCTCCCAATGATGGCCTATCTTCTGATTATGGTGGATGGTGCAATTTTCCCAAAGAACACTTCGAGATGTCAGAGGCAGCATTTACTGAAATAGCAGAGAAAAAAGCAGATATTGTGCCAGTTCAATATAGGAGGTAAAATTAATCTAAATGCACATAGATTCAAACATTTTCTAATCTTCGAGCTAAGGGGAAAATCGTCTTAAATTGTGTAGGGTGAGGTGTGACAGAAGTGGTGGATTAAGATTCACAGTTAGCGGGAATTCTCGATTCTTTCAAGTTTTGATTACTAATGTTGGAATGGATGGTGAATTAGTGGCAGTGAAAGTGAAGGGATCTAGAACAGGATGGATACCTCTGGCAAGGAACTGGGGACAAAACTGGCAAAGCAATGTCAATCTTCATGGGCAACCTCTCTCTTTTGAAGTTACCTCTAGCAGTGGAAGAGCACTTACTTCCTATGGTGCTGCACCTGGAAACTGGCAGTTCGGGCAGACATTTGAAGGGAAACAATTTTGACATCGTCATGCAACTAGGGAAATTCAAAACTTTAGGCCTTCATCATGAAATATAACTAGAAGCTTTGAACATAAGTACACTGGCATGTTAAATCTCTCGATGTGTAAACACATGAGAATCAAACTGCACAAAATTAGTAGTCTGGGCGTAGAGCCCACATAGTTTTCATCTTTACTGTATATTTTTCGAGAGGTAATGCAACAATACCAAACCTGGTTTTGTGAGGTTACACATCGATTGGAAAAGAGAACGAAGCATTCTTTATAAGAGTGTGGAAACATCAACCTAGCATACGCGTTTTAAAAACCTTGAGGGGAAACCCAAAAGGAAAAGTCCAAAGAGGACAATATTGGCTAGTAGTGAGCTTGAGCCGTTATAAATGGTATCATAGCCAAACACCGGATGATGTGCCAGTGAGGAGGCTGAGCCCTGAAGGGGGGTGGACATGAGGCGGTGTGCTAGCAAGGAGGCTGGGTTCCGAAGGAGGTGGACACGAGGTGGTGTGCCAGCAAGACGCTGGGCCCCGAAAGGGGGTAGATTGTGAGATGCCACATCGGTTGAGGAGGAGAACAAAACATTCTTTATAAGGGTGTAAAAACCTCCCCATAGAAGATGCGTTTTAAAAACTTTGAGGGAAAGCCCAAGAGAATAATATCTACTAACGGTGAGTCTGGGTTGTTACATGTTTTATCCTAATGTAGTCTACATAAATTTCAGTACTTTTTTGGATGGAAAACGAAGTTATGCACCATTCACTGTGCCTTAAAGTTCAGCTTCTTTCCTAATATTTCTGTCTTAGGTGGACTTAGATGAAGTTCTCATCCTCACGACAGAAGAGCTGAAGTATGTTGCCAGATGATCAGCTTATCTGCATAGACCAGTGACAGTTTCAAGCAGGTAAGGAAAGTGTTTGGATCCCAGCAACATGAGAAACTGAAGCAAAAGAACATGGGGGAAGAGAGTATACTTGCGGATACAATTTATCCAACTAGTGTCATTTATCCAATCAAACATAATCCCAAAAGTTCATTTCAAAGGGAAGTTTCAGGTTTCTTCAAAGGAAACATTGACGAACTCCATCTTGCCAGAAGTTCAATCAGTATACGCCTTCTATTCCATGATTCAAAGCCCGATCAGCAGCTCAATGCATAGATATGGCTGTAGCTGCGGGTCTTCTTCCTCTAGAAACTCGAGCGATTCACCATAAATCTTTTGTGCATCCTGCTTCACATTCTTAAACCAGTAGCCTCTCCCGATGATTCCAGTCCTTCTATGACAATCCTGAATGAAGTCTTATCCGGCTAGCAACCTACTTCTTTCATCACGTAATAGGACTCAATCACAAGTTCACCTAAATTATTACTAACCAAAGCTCTCAAAAGAGCATTAAACCCGTCAATATCATGCACTACGTCAGTTTCTGCTCTCAAATAGGAATGAATAATTTTTTACTTGTTCGAATAATCCACTGCTAGCCTATAATGTAATAATATCAGCATATAGCGAAACCTGAGGCTTGTACCAGTGTTCCTTCCTAACATCTTCGAAAACCGAAGTCTCAAATATCGACAGTAAAGTAATACAAAATATCAGCAAGGAATATTGAAGGAATTTACCATAAGCAGAAATCCATATCTCGCTATTGCTGCGATAATTCTTCAACAATCGATACTGATCGTGCAATATGGAATAATTCCGGTAGCTAATAAATCGAAGATACGGATAAACATAAAAATCTAAAGCAGATGCATCACCTTAAGAGCCAAAGAACACTCGTTCTGACGAATGAGCTCGCGAAGAACAGCCATCATATCGAACTTCAATAAGCGCCTTAACTTCGGAATCGTACACTCGGTCCAATTGTTGTAAATCTTCCTTGGCTCGCTTCAGCGACTGTACCGCTTGAATCGCTTCGATGCTAAGGTTCCTTGGCTCACTATCACTCTCCGATATTCCTCCGCCTTCCTAGCCGCAGGCAACATGCTTTCCCACCGGCGCTCAGTAACTCGTACGGAGGACCGAGAATCGTCGGCGACGGAGAAGTTGCCAAGAAACTCATTATTAGATGCTCTCTCCGGCGAACTCTTATTCATCCATGAACCGCCATTTTTCTTTCCACCTGAATCGGTTCGTGAGAAGAAGGGTTAAAAGGTTTATATATAAAATATATTTTCAATTAAATAATAAAAACCTTAAACAATTGAATTTTAGTTCATTATTAATTTTTAATATAAATTATTTTTTATTACTCTTTTCTCTATAAATTATAAAAAAAATATATTCTCATATTATTATAATTTAATTTCATCATTTTTTATTAAAAAATAAAAAGTTGGCTTTATTGAAAGTATAAAAATTAAATTTAAATAAATTAGCAAATATGATAAATTTGTTTGATAATATTATATTAAAAAACTATTCTATTTATTGTAAATTTATTTTATTTTTTATTACATATTTTAAAGAAAGTATAAAAATTAAATTTAAATAAATTAACAAAATAGTATTTTTAACCCAATAACTTTAAAACTTTTAAAAATATCTAAAAATTACCTTTATGGTTAATTTTGAATGAAAATTGCGAGGAACTTATTATACTTATTATGATTATTACTTGTTTAAAAAAAATATGCATAAAATTTTAAATATAATATTAACACAGTTAATATTGAGAAAAAATAGTAATTTTTTTTTTACCACAAATGTATAGACGAAAATCGTATATAGATACATCTTAGATTATTTTTGAAATGTGATACCATTATCTGGGTTCGTATTGTAAAAAACGAAGGAGGCTCTAAAACTGAAGCAATTGTCTCTTGTATACCTATCGATTTCGAGTGCCTCGGGAGCGGAGTTTTGAATAAATCAATGATCTCATACGTGGGGTAGTAAGTTCGCTCCTTGTACTAATAGGTCCTCCCGTTGCTTGGCTAAAAGCTCGTGTATTGTGTGATGAATGATGTCTATGTAGAGTTAATGTTGGCTGATCAGCCAACTTCGTGACTAAGTTATGCTTACGTTTGATTTTTTTTTTATTTTTTATTTTTATAAGGATGGATTGTATTTGAATTTTAAAATAATAATTATTTTAAGTTTTAAAATGAGAATTCAATTTTTATATGTTTGACATTAATATTATATCAATATTAAAAAAAAGAAAAAAAAAGAAATTGATTTTTTTTTTCCACATTAAGAAGGCGCGTGAGAAAGAGGGCGCGTGTGATGCACGCGAGTCCAACCCAACCGTTGCGTTACGATGTAAATTTCCGGTTTACGTAATTATCGGGTTTCTCTCATTTCTCTTTCTCATCGCTCTTTGTGTGTGCTTTTGTTGAACAAGTTTCGACTCACAGAGCCTGCGACTTGGCACCAAACCGAGGGCCAAACCGAAAAGGGGGAAATCCAAAATCGATGAGCCCATGAACAGATTCAGCTTCGAATTGGACATTGAATTGAAGCTACAACTGGTAATTTTCTTCCGATTCAATTCAATTTCAACCATGATTCGCTGAATGGATATCTGTTCTTTGATTCTGCACCAATGTCGGTTTCGCAAGCCCTAGGTGGCAAGTCCAGATGCGGCCGTGCGATCGGCCCTTCCCTCGATAAGATTGTCAAGAACGCGGCCTGGCGTAAGCATTCTCACCTTGTTTCCTCTTGCAAATCCGTTCTCGATAAGCTTGATTCTATTTCGGAAGCTTCTCTTGATCCTGCTTCTCCGATTGCTGGCCTTTCACCGGCTGATGCGGAGTTTGTGCTCCAACCGCTCCTTTTGGCCCTCGATGCCGCCTACGTCAAGGTTGCTGAGCCCGCGCTTGAGTGCGTCTTCAAATTGTTCTCCCGCGGTCTATTCCGTGGCGAGATCGAGAGGCCGGATGGCGAGGCGAATTCTGGTGCTAGTTCCATTGTGTATAGGATCGTTGAGTCTGTGTGCAAGTCGGGAGGTCTTGGTGATGAAGGAATTGAGCTCATTGTTCTCAGGGTGTTGCTCTCTGCGGTTCGATGCCCTTGTGTATTGATCCGCGGGGATTGCTTGGTTAATGTTGTTCGGACTTGTTACAATGTGTATCTCGGTGGCTTGAGTGGTACGAATCAGATCTGTGCAAAATCCGTTCTAGGTCAAATAATGATCATTATTTTCAGTAGGATGGAGGAAGACTCCATGGATGTTCCTGCTAGTATAATTTCTGTGAATGAATTATTGGAATTTACCGACAAGAACTTGAATGAAGGCAATTCTATATATTTTTGCCAGAACTTTATTAATGAGGTAATGGATGCCAGCGAAGGGGTTGCGGATAAGAAACTATTTTCGTCTTGGGGACAATTGCAGAATGGCAATGCTTCGCCACTTAAAGCTGACAATAAAGGTGAATCTGATGTGGGAGAAACGGAAGATGTAGCCGAATCAAGTGGTTGTAGTAAGATTAGGGAGGATGGATTCCATTTGTTTAAGAATTTGTGTAAGTTGTCGATGAAATTCTCATCCCCGGAGCACCCAGATGATCAGATCCTCTTAAGGGGCAAAACACTGTCTCTGGAACTGCTAAAGGTGATTATGGATAAGGCAGGGCCAGTTTGGCGCCTTAACGAGAGGCAAGCATTTCATTCTTCATCGATCATTTTAGTGTTACTCATGGAAGTCTTTATAACTGCCTTGAAACTCCACGATTGATACAAAATCTTGACCAAACTAGTTTTCTACCTAATAATTATATGTGATTTTATCTTTTTAAACTAGGTATTTTCATTGGGAGAAATTACTTCGGGCATTCAGAATATAATCTTATTTTGTTTTGAAAAATCTAGAGCATTTTCAAGCTTCTTATGACACATGCCCTTTTTCCAAATTAACGATTTATTTGGTCTGAGTACTTTGTAGTAAGCTATTGTTGATTGGATAAACTGTGACAGGTTCTGTCACTGTTGGTTTCAGGTTTCTCAATTCTATCAAGCAGTTTCTTTGCTTATCATTATTAAAAAACAGTGCCCTGTCGGCAATGGCCATCTTCCAGATTCAATGTTCTATTTTTATGAGCTTGTTGACAAAATTTAGATCAGGACTGAAAGC